AAGAACCCAAGAAGTTAAAGTACATAAGAAGACAAAATGAACATCTTTGGCTCAGGGTGACGTTTTTCAGTGTAAAGTCAATTGGAGCCAGAGTCGATGGAGCCGGAAGTGCCCCCCATGAACTCTTCCTTGAAACACAGCAGTTATAGTGAGTTTGCTGTGTCCATTTATATGTACAGTTTATGCTTTTGCCTTTGAATAAAAAAAAGTCCTCAGTGTAGATAAGCAGCTACTAGACTAAGTTACGGCTCAGATCTGCGGAACGGCACCCCCTCTCACAATAACAATGGTATTATTTTTATATTATATTATAAGGTATTATTTTTAGAGTTACAACATTTACTGAATAAATGCAAAATAGATAATAGGCATGCTGTGGAACATTCCAGGCAAAGCAGTAAGCAACATCTCACATCTCATTGTAGACAAGCAGGATGCAGGGCCTTCACCAGAAAAGTTACACCTTTTAAAATCTGCAACGAACAACCCAATATCAGACAGTCAACCCATATTAAAGCTACACGCACACTTTAGGCGCTCAATTTTCTTCAACGGCCGGTCTGAAGAGTACAGAACACTATTGTGAACATTTATGAATTATGTATGCGTTTTGTGTTTTGTTTTGTTTGGTGTGATAGACTCCCAGGGAATGTAGGCCACACTTATGCATAACAATAGTCTCACCAAATTCTCACCGACTACATGTCCGTTTATTTATTGAATCATGTTTTATAAAGGCAACTTTGTTCAAATTGTCTTATGTAAATTTTAGTGCAACTGCTAGAAATTATGTCACATCCAAACAAATATTAATGAGCACTGCTAAAGCAGTCTCCAGAGTCATTTTATACTGATAATAACATTAAAGGTCCTATATTACTCCAAATTGACTTGTGTGAGCTTTAAGTCATGTTATAATCTTGTTACCTCCTTAAAAACAGACCTGCAGTTGTGTTTTGTTTCATTCACACATGTCTGAGTGATTCTTTATTATTAGTCTGTCTACATTTCCAAAGCTCAAAATGGTGTTTCGCACATTGTGATGTCATGTAGTGGTAGTTTTCACATTAACAGCTTCCTTTTTCTTTTTGTTCAGTAGAGATTGGCAAATGAAATGAAATTATTTCAATGATTCTAGTAAAGGCGTATGGAGTTTAAAAACACTGTGGAGCATTTTGTATAATACCACATGACATCACAAGGTGGAACAGAGTGTTTTCAGTTTGAAAAAAGAACTCAGCCTAAATATACATGAATTTGCGTGTTATAAATCTGTGAATGAAACTAAACACAACTCCAGGTCTCTTTGTGATTAGAAAATAACATTATAACATAGATCAGAAAATAGCTCAATATGGGCCCTTTAAGAGATTGTAGTTTTACATGAAATAAGTCAGTTTGAGTCTAAGCTTTCCAGTATTACGGCTTTTGAACCATCTTGAATATGTTGGCATTGTCATGGTTACCAGCAGATGGCACACCTGCTTGTCTCCATGGAGATGTTAAATCTTTGCATACAACAGTATTGCATTAAATTTAAAGAATGTATTTAACGCTCTATGTTTTCATTGTTCATAAATGTTTTCATTCTTACTGGGGTAGCCTCTTCACAGATCTGATCTGTAACTTGGCCTTTGTTGTGTTACCTGCTTTTCTTTATTAAGAATTTTGTTTATGCTTTACTGTGGAACATTTCAGGCAAAGCAATAACAAATCCTTGGAGAGGAGCAGGTGATGTATACCCTCAGCCTGAAATGGTACCAAAAAGGCCATCGCTGTGTTTCAGATGACATCACAACATTCTATAGGCTAATAATATCTAATACAAAAGGGAAAACCACCAATAATCTGATGATAATGTTTTGAGAATATTGGTTTTATGATACATGAAAAATACTGGACATATACCAAATCTGGTCAGGTTTATATTTTTACTCTGGACTACTACAGTTTCTCTTTAAATATTCTTTTGATGCAATATTTGTGTGTTAGGGTTAGTGTTAGGGATATATTGCCTATTTGTAATCATCACAAAGTGAATAGGCTCTATTAAAGGTCCTATGATACACAAAATTGATTCTTGTGAGCTTCAGGATAATTAGAATCTTGTTATCTCATCAAAAACATACTACTTTCATTCACACATGTTTGAACAATCCTTTATTATTGTTAAGTCTACATCTATGAATGACATAAATCACAACTCCAGTTAGGTTTGATATGAGAAAACAACATTAAAACAAAGATCTGAAAATAAAGGCCCTTTAAATTCAGATGTAAAAGTTGCGCAAAACATTCAATATAGCCTGATTAATCCATCACTCAGCATTTGTGTTATATCAGCATTACCACATGATTTAAAGATTATTGCTTCCTCAGGTGTAGTTTAGCCAGAGAGAGCCCCTGTGTGGCATCACTCGTCGCCCGCGGGGGAAGCCGAGACCCCGGGCCGCGGCGCAGAGAGAAGCCGCTTGGGAAAGCTCTGCCTCGGGGCAAAGCTCGACAGAATGTGCGGTCTTTTCTTTGGCCTGGGGCAGACCTCCGAGGCCCTTTTATTGTTTAACATCCTCAAAAGCGACGAGGGGATTACGGAGCGCGTCTGTCCGGCCCATATGTCCCCTCTAGTGTCGCTGGTGCTTAATTAAAACAGAATGGTACCACTTGGACCCGTGCGCTCGCTGACATTTATTGAACCTGTTGAAAACACCGACCTATACGACCTAATATAATGACGATATGGTATTGGAAATTAAAGGGAGCCCACTTGTAAACTACTTTGTATCTTATAATACTCTATGGACGAATTAAGATGCAGGTGCCATGGTAATCTTTCTGCTTTACTGACACAATGGATGGAACTAATAAAAACATACACAGGTCCGTCAAAAGCAGATCAATTTTACTTTTTAGACTTTTTTCTTAGCCCGTTAAAATTTTGATGCTTGGTTCATCATACCTCTATTAATGAGATGCAGCTTACTCTTGTAGTATGCCAAATTTTGAAGACTTTTCCCACATTTAAAAGACATAGAGAATATTTTAAATTGTCAGTTATCTGTCCTAACTTGTCGTAATTTTTAAACCAAAGAATAAGACTATAATTCTAATATCTACGTAAAAAATCATATAACAGCGTTGCTTTTTATTTTGGTATCTCCATATCTAATTATTTTACCTGGAATAACACAATTTACGTGATATATTAATGATATCTGCACTAAATGATTGTGCGTAAAAACCTGTCTCACCACGTGTTGTGGGAAAACAAACCCCCTCACCACGATCGTATTTCCTGTTTCTGAAGTGAGTGGCCAAACTTGACCTGTGGGCCCTCTGTGTATTCTGGGCCTAATATACAGCTACAGACGTGTCAATGACTTTTCCATTTACCACTCGGTCATTAAGGACGTGTGTCGTGTCGCGCTAATTGAGGGTCACTTCGGCAGATTGAGCGCGAGCCTCACGTTTCCTGTCTCGTTCTAATTAGACCGATAGCACGAGCCGTTTAATCCACGCACGAGCCCTCGACCTGTCTGTCTCCCAAAAGGGCACGCAGGACTACTTATTGTCACCCGGGATTTAAATAATTGTGCCGATTTGGCGATGTTTGGGTGGTGCGTCCTGCGTGCGTAAAAGTGGACGACCCGGAATTTTTGTGGACAGTTGGAGTTTTTTTACCCTGTTTAAGATCCACAAATAAAATACAAATAATAATAATAATAAATAAATAAATGTAAAAATAATAATCAACTATTAACTAAAAGTGTAATCGTAATAATAATTTAAAAAGGTTTAAACTTTAACTTCACAGATAACAATGTGTCACCAAACCTTACTGCGCCCTATCATCAATAAATACATACATTTAATTTTTTTTTTTTTTTTTATCTAGTTGCATGCTCAAAAGCGTTTTATTTGCTTTAAATTGTAAAACATGGAATGGAAAAAATAATGTCTCGTTTACATTTTTTGGTGTGTGATGTGATCTTTGGGCTCTACACCGAGATTGGTTTTCCTCTCCTAAATTAAACTTTCTGTTTTCATACAATCCAAATGCATAAATAAACGTAGCTTTATCAATTTATTACAGTGCCTTTTTGGCTCTGATACAAAGCATACTGCCATACAAAGTAAAATTGTTTAATCCATACCTAAATTGTATCTCTTGTCATGTTGCTTTTTATTGGTCATGGGAGCTTTCACATATCGGACCAGCAGTCAATAAATAGTGGGATTATCTTCTTTAGGAGATCAGATTAACAACCTATAATTCACATGTCAAATTTAATCTCGTGCACTTGAGTGGTAGCTCTTAAATAAAAAATGGAACTTGTATCTTAAAAACAAAAAAATGAAAATGTAGACACGTGCATCAAGTATAAAGCAGTTTTATTGTTTTGTGGGTGTGATTTGGCCACTTCTAATCAGATATTTATAATAATTTACCATTGACATAACACATGAAACAGAACTCATAGCCAGTTGTGTATTGAAAATTGCATATACAGGCAGTACAAAAATAACATTAAAAACTAACACAAAAATGTTTAAAATACAAAGAAATACATGAAGACGCAAACTGACTGATTGTCTTAACTAGTCTTAAATTTTTCATAAATTAAATAGTGCATTCTGAATTATTTCACATCCAATCATGCTACATCAGGCTCTCTCTCTCTCATTCTCTATCACACACACGTACTTTGATCATATGGCCTTTTCAATGTGCCAACAAAATAAAAAGACTAGAGGAATGAGCCTAACAAAATTTCAGATCATATTTTCAAACTTCACTTAGGCTCTCTCACTCTTTTGGTATCTTTTCCATTTGGGCAACTGATTTGGTCCATGTTTTCAAAGTTAGGAAGAATCTGAATGTCCAATAAGTTAACGCCGCCTGGAGACAAGCAGCTGCAGTCTGGCTCCATCGCGCCGAGGTAGAAGTTTTAGCACTAAATGTTCCAATGCAGGGCTTTAATTGAGTCTGTTGAATTGTCCATTTATAAAACTTGAAATTTCCAAGCGCCCTGGTCTTTGTAATCCAAACAGTCCGCGTTGAAATTGAGCTTCCATGAGGAGGTTTGGTCCTTATAGTCGAGACAGTCTGCTCCGGTGAAGCCCAGGCCCGTCGCTGCTCCGTACGCCGACGAGGAGAGCGTGTTTGCGGGACTGATGTGGCTGGACACTCCGCTGCCGCCCATGGGACTCATAGCGGAGCCCGCGGAGGAAAGTTGGTGATGCATGGGTGACAAATACGAGCTGCAGTCCATTCCCGTGAAGTAGGACGAGGAGCCGGTGTAGCCCTGGTTGTAGCCGCCCGTTGCTTGGGTGTAGGTCATTGGATAGGGACGCTGCATACACGATGAAGAGGAGGTGGAGAGCGGGTCTGACAGAGGAGAGATGGAGGCCGGACTCCAGATGGACACCGGGGCCGTGCTGCTGCTTACAGCCGGAATGGAGGTGCTGGATGGCGGCGTGAATTGCCCACTAGCCCCGCTCTCGGAGCTTGCCTCTCGCACTGGAGAGCCCTTCTTTTTCAGCGGTCTGTTCACGGCCTGTTTCTGCACCCCAGTCTGCGTCTGCTGGGCCTGCTGCCGATGCTTGGCGCGTCTGTTTTTGAACCAAACCTGAAATGATAATGTCAAAAATACTTAACATTACAGAACTGTATCAGACATATAGACTAGCTTTGTTGCCCTCTTTAACAGTTTACAGTAACAGCAAAACAGGGAAAGGGAAAGTTGTCTCGCGTAAAACAATGGAGCCACTGTGCCTGAGCCTGAGGGCGCACACACTCCAGGCCAAGTGAACGACCTCAAATCACCTGTCTGCGCTCACAAGAGAAACACTGTATTGTTTTATAATGTTTTGAGTTAGAGTATTAGACTCACCTGCACTCTGGACTCGGGCAGGTTGATCTTTAAGGCCACCTCTTCTCTCATGAAAATATCAGGGTATCTCGTCTTGGAGAACAGGTTTTCCAACACATCGAGCTGGGCCCGTGTGAATGTCGTCCTCTCTCGTCTCTGCTTTCTTGGAGTTCCTGGGGAGAAAAAAAATAAAAATAAGATTAAAATCACATCAATAAATTACCTTAATTTTAAGGACAGTTTGACAATGTTTTTGACTATGGTGTTTCAAAATAAACATGGGCTATTGCGTAAAATAAATGTTTAACATTAATCTTGTAAATTAAATTACCTTGGTATCCCACAGAAGGGTGCAGCAGGTCCACGCCTGAGGTAGATAAGCTCAGTCCGTTCACTGTGTACGGCGGTTGTTTCAAATAGGACATCATTTTGGCGGCTGTTGGGGTGCACCGGGCAAAGATAAAATTAAAACTAAAATACAGGAAACCACAAAAACGGCTGAATCCACGCGAGTATCCGTTTGGTGTCTTTTATCGATAGCACAAAAGGAAATGGGTGAAAGTCCAGTTGCGATTTAACGCGCGCTCTTCTCTCGACGGTTATTACGCACGACCTTTACGCGGTGCGATGCATTGGACAAGTGTGCGCCCTTGGATTCTGCTGCGCTCTTAAAGCCAAGAGGAGACCCCCAGCTGTCCTCACTGCTCTGGGAGCGCTTTGGCCCCCCTCCCTTCTCCTCCAACCACCTCGCCTTCTCCAAACTGCCACTATAACCCCGCCCCTAATCACCCCCCAAAACATACCATACACTCCTCCTCTCCTCTGCTCTACTGGCCTATACTCGTACATACGACCCAAAACAAAACAATTGTCGTTAAAATGCGCACACACTCGTAGGGCCCCAACTGAGCCTTACGATTAGCATATACCCACAGGTTAGGCGAAGCTAAATAGACAGCTGATTGGGGGGCCATTTGCACAGACAAAGCCTACTGTTGACCGATAAGTAATGCCGATAACAAAAGACTCAGGGGAACAAACAATGAACCAGTACTGCAAACTGAGCGCTCTTTCAGATACAACTCAGTATCTCCAATTGTCTAACTACGGACTATTGTTTCATAAAAAGTTGGTCCATTCACATGTAACGATATTAAAATACGTAGAGCAACTTTAGCAAATTAGAAACAAGCGCGCAAAAGTTAGTCCGATTCAGTCATATTATTAGGCGAACACTTGACTCCCCCTCCTCCCGTTTTCTTTCGTAATGAATTGTCACTCGTTAATTAGATTTGGGCGGTGAGACTATCCGAAAGTGTTGATTAGGAAAGACCACTTAATCTTAATCTAAATAAACAAAGAGACTGCTCACTACATCTGTGGACAGGTAATGGGTGACAACGTTGGTCTAACTCATTATCACCTCAACCTGTTGCCTATCTGGACTAAAGTGTATTCGGATGACTGGGCCAGGTACAGAAATGTAACAAAAGCTTTAACTGGCTAATTGTAATAATGTAACACATTATCTTTTATTGTCTTTATTATTAATGGGCTTTGTTTTATGTAGGGTTTTGTTATGACTGCTAGTGCCATGTACAGTATGCTTTGTCATAGAAGTTTATTTCATTTGCCAATTCATACTAAAGCACTATCTAAAGAAATGTGTTGCTTCTCAAGAAGGTTGTAAGGATAATTTTATGATATTTTAGCATATAATTTTACCAAAGTTAGGTTAAGTTTTAATTTTGATGAATAGTCCAAGAAGCCTACATTTTAGACTTTGTAGGCCTTCCACATTCAGTCACTTTACAGTTGCATATATTGTTTTAATAGTTAAATAAATACTTCACAAAATGGTGTGAGCTTTCGCGTAAATATAATTGGCTAGATTTTGGAAACGTGAATTGCAACTTGAGTTTAACTTAACTTTCCCACGCAATTTTGTGTAAAACCGTCTGTGTAGAGGTGTATTAATAAACCTTTCATACTCATTGATGTAATTGTTAAAATGGTTTACAAACTGTATTAAGATTTTGCGTCTTCATCTCCACGTTGCAATGTGCCAAGTTGGTGTAAAGGGGACTTTTACGCACAGACATAACCGCCACTCCTCTTTGCAATCTGTCCCCTCTCTGCCTCCTCAGACCTCACGTTCAATACCAAATAACCTAATACCATGTTTGGGGGTTTAATTATTATTGGCTACTAGAGTTTTTCCTTCTTTCAGTAAGAAATTAACGAGATAATCCGCTCGGCACGCGCTGGCCTGATTATAGGACGCCAGCCACGACTCCGTCCTCAATTTTCTGCGTCACGAAAATAAAACAAAGCGTGGCATTGTGTCCGCGAGCCCAGCTGAGCGCCAGACAGCCCCCTGCCCCCCACAGCACCGGCACAACTGACAACTCACTTTCCACTATTATTATTATATTATAATTTATAAGATTATTCATTTACGTTTCAGTCTAAGCAATTTCCTGTAGGCCATTTGCTCTCTTCAACTATACACAAGGATCATTATTATTCCAGCTATAAATGATTAGATGTAAGTCGATTTTATTTATTTATTTATTTATTTATTTATTTATTTATTTATTTATTTATTTATTTATTTATTTATTTTAGCCGATTATTTTATTTTTTATTTATCGTATATTCACTTCATCATAAGGCAATCCAAGTAGGCTACTGTAGTTCTAATCGGTTAATCACTTGTCCAGAAGGTCTATTGCACTAAATGGCCAAATAATATAAAATTTCATAGCCTAAAAAAAAATAGAGTGCTTGCCATATTCAAAGACCTATTGGCACAGATAGCCTTTACGCGCAAGTTCGTGTTGACACCAGTTTTGGACATTACATTATAGTATTTCTTCCCTCTTTATGAACCTTATCCAAATCTTTATAAGGCTGAGAGTTTCCATAATCTGAAGTTGTGACTGCTCCACTGGCCTCCTAATCGCTTAGTCAAACGCTTGAATGAACCGCCTTTCTTTCTGAACTTTGGAGCCTAAAAAGGATCAGAGGCACGAAGAAAAAGTTTCACGCCTCCCCAATTACCGCCCCGTGCGTAAAAGTTGCAGTGAACGTTTACTCCAGGCCCGTGCACTCAATGATAAACAACCCAATGAAATAAAACGGTTGAAAATAAAGCTTAACTTACTTTTTAAGCGCCCGGATGCGGCAGAGCAGTTACGAGGCAGCTTTGATTAGGTCCCTCGCTCGGTTAAGCCTGTTTGATGCGGATAATGCGCTACTAAAGAAAAGCCCCACGTATTTTATGGAAAGGGAAAAGAGAGAGAGGAAAGGATTTTTGGAGCCAATGGAAATATGCAGAATTATAAAGAGTAGATGGATGAAATAGCGACAGTAATTTTATTGTGATGACATAAGAAGGGTTGACCATGCAGTAGCCATATATGCAAATGTAGTTTAAAGGAATACACGTAATATTTTCTCAAATAATTCATACTCTAGTTTAGTGTTAATGGGTGAATGATTGGGAAAGCAAAAAAGCAAAAACTCTATTCTTTGCAAGCGAATTTTTACTCATCCAGATATGACAATACGCAAAACCGTATTCTTAGGCCAAACAGATCCAAGTTGACCCATTTGAATATTATGAAAGAAAATAAACAAAATTAACACAAATAAAATCTCAAAACATTGCCATTATTGGGGAAATTATTCTATTAAATTATAATCTACAAAATAGCCTATTTAGACCTATCAAATAAATAAAAACATGGTTAGAATGAGACTAAAGAGATACTGGAAAATCTCCTTTTTACACAAGTGGCAAAATGGTAATTTTAGCCAGTTTCCTGGTTCTGTGACATAGCTTATAGAATTATAATAATCACTAACAAAGCTCACTTGGACTGGAGTTTTTAAAATAATTGCTCCTAAACGTTGTGAAAATGGCGTGCGTAAAAGTAGATAAACAATAGATTGCGTAGGTTTGTTCGTTATTTTGGTTTTGTTTTTCTTTGTTGAATCGTAGCGTTGTCAGTGCCCAGATATAAACTGTAGAAACGGAATATTCGTCTTGATTACAGTCGTGTTCAGCCGCCGTGAATAAACGTAACAGCAGCAGGTTACAGAAGTTAATTAGGAGTGTAGATGCCAGACGACCAGACTGTGCCATGGCTGCTTGCGTAGACCGGCTTTAAATCGATACACCAACGAGTCTATATGGAGTAAAAATGTATTTGTCCTAATTATCAGTCAAGCATATAAAATGTACTGGCTTGAACTAAAAGTCAGTTTGAAATGAGGAAATAATGAAGAGGTTAAAGATTGAGTAAGATCAATAATCAATCAATCAATCAAAGTGTATTTATTTTTGTACAAACACCAAGCAGAAAAACTAGTATAGCCTATTACAATTACAATAACAACACTGTAAAACATAATCAATAAAAAAAAATTAAAAAGATAAAAGTAGTCCTGGTTTAGTTTTGGGCTGTGGATAAAGTTAGTGTCAACATTTAGACCTGTTGTATATTGCCTGGTTTAGTCTTCAGGTTAGGGTACTAAATTAACCCTGACCTGGAGATTTGTCCTCTGCATTTGGCCCATTCTTCAATGCCACTGGGAAAACCTGTCAGCAGGCCGTGATCTTGGTCAGAACTATCTATATTGTGCATGTTTTGGGTTGCCTGGCTTTGCTTAGTAACTGTGTAGTCCTGGTTTAAGCCTAGTTTGGTCTGGTGTATTGACTGTTTGTATCTTAAGTTCATTTTCAGAGCTGGTTTAGACTGGATTTTGGCTTGTTTTGGTTTACTCATTGTCTTTATTTTGTCGTTTGATTTGAATTTGGATTACTCAAACATTAGCCTTGGCCAGTTTGTTCTGGTTTCGGCAGGTGCAATAGTTAAGTGCAAATTCAGTCTTCAACCTGGTTAGACCTTGGTGTAGCTTTAGTAGGGTTAAGATCTTGTCTAAACAGAAACTATTGCATAAATGATAGAATCTACTAGCATCTTTTAAGATGCATTCACACTTTTGGAACTAAACATTAAACCGGGACTACACCACTCAAGACTAGAGCCAGACTAAGTCTACATGAGGTCTATATCGGGTTCAAACCAGTACCAAATTAAGTCTACATGAGGTCTAACCCGGGATCAAACCAGTACCAAACCAGGACTAGAACAAATCAAGTCTACATGAGGTGTAAACCAGGATCCAACCAGTACCAAATGAAGTCTACATGAGGTCTAATCTGGGATCAAACCAGTACTAAACCAGGACTAACCCAACTCCAGTCTGCATGAGGTCTCAACCGGGATCAAACTAGTACTAAACCAGGACCAGACCAAATCAAATCTAGGTCTAAACTGGGTTCAAACCAGTCCTAAACTGGAATTAGAACAAATCAAGTCTACATGAAGTCTAAACTGGGTTCAAACCAGTACTAAAC